TTGAATATCTTATTTCTCAGCATAAGTCGCCATGAGCCTCAAGACTCCTGATTACATCAATGATCACATCTACATGTAAGTTGAGCTTCTGTTTGGTCTACGATCCGAAGTGATCGCTACTCATGCATTTTAATTCTCGGTAGTTACATATTGATGAATCATCATGGTGATGGTATGGCCTCATCAGCGAGTCACTTCTGCACCAAGCTTCACATCTGGCTTGAGCTAGCAGGCTTACCGTATACCCTTCTACCGGCTAATGGACCCGATGGCCCCTACGGTGAGGTATACTTCTACAGCAGTTATCATTTGGTTAAACTCTCAGGTAAAGCACCGTACATCGAGCTCAACGGCCAGGTCTACGCAGATTCGAGTGCTATAGTGAAGATGCTATCAGATAAGTATGGCAAGGACTTGGATGCCGACCTTAGCCTGGAGCAACGAGCCATGAGCATCGCCGTTCAACGTATGGTGGAGGAGCACACCTACTTCCTTACTCTCGCCGACATGGCCCTACAAGATGGAGCTTTCGAAGTATTGAATAAGAAGTTGATGAATTTACCAACGGTTGCCCGATGGATCTTCCCGACGTTTCTGTTGCGAAGTTTCAAGGCGATTCTGAACGGCCAGGGAATCGGACGCCTCCCCGAAGTTGACCGGAAGCGAAGAATGAAAGAGGATATCGAGGCTCTCTCGATCATCTTGGGAGAGAAAAAATACCTCGTGAATGACGATAAGCCTTCCACTATTGATGCTACCGTATTTGGTTATCTATGGTCGAACTTTGACACCGATTCGGAGTTTACTAAGTACATGTCCTGCTGCACAGAGAGTGAGAAGTATGATAACTTAATGGCTTACTACACTCGGATGCGTGACATGATGCTCAAGTCCCATGACAAGTGGGCTATTAAGGCATGATGAACTCGGTTAATGATTAATTTCTAAGAATTCGATTGTTTCCTTCCACCAGTAGATGCTTTGCGTTTGCCCCAGTTGAATGATGCTAGGTCATTCAAGTGTTGATGAAAGTACGTGTCATCAACCCATGTGCGCCTTCATAAGTGTCTGTTGACAATCCGATGTGAAGACT